GGTCCGGGGTCTCCCTGCAACGAGTTCTACAAGCCAGGTCCATACCGGCCTCCTCGTGTCCTCTGCTAGGTCACTCTTACTTTCGGGGGAAACTAAAGACCAACAGGTAGGGCACAGGTATCCTGCACAACCCAAACAACCACCTGCGAAGAGTCCCGCTACGGAGGGGGAGTGATGGGCCGGGGAAGGCAGCAGAAACCGCCGGACCCGCTGCACACCCCCAGCAACACAATCCGAGCCTCCGCCCCGCACTTGACCCGGAGTTAATGTGGGGAACAGCGTCCGACCGGGCGGAAGGGCGAGAGTCTTTCCCAAAATTCATGAGCATTTTCTAATGAATGGTTCCCGGGACGCGTGGAGCAGCCCCGGGAAGAGATCCGTGTGCGCAGGAGCAACTTTGGCCGCAGCCTTCGCGTTCTGCGGGGATCAGAGCGAGCAAAGAGGGTCTGAGGTCAGAGAGGCCGGAGAGTGGATCCCCAGCGCCCCCACCCAGCACCGCTCCCCGCCACCGCGGCTCCCCCCCGGGCTCCCAAGGGCTGTCGCTTACTAGCAGCAGCTTTCCCTGCTATAGGTGGAGGTTTTCCGACGCTGGTACTCTTTCAGCCCACGCTTCATTTGCATTTTATTTGTGAAGAACCTCGTTGTCTGGGACGTGTGAGGATACGGAGGCCAGTACTGCACAGAGGCAGGGCAGGAAGAGCCAACCTTTTCCTTTTAGTAATATAATCCTGTAGCAGAAGCTAACATTGTGCAGAGTGGAAACATTTCACCTGGGAAAGCTTTTTACCAGAAATCACTCGTCATGCATATCTATATTTCCATTTTAGCTCAGAGCACAAAAAGTGTCTTACTCTAAACCTGATGGAAATGAAATCTGATTAGACAGTACAGAAACGTCAAAGAGTCTGGTTTTTCTTGGTTTACAGAATCGAGTTTGGTTTATCCCCCGAGGTACTAGAGGGTAAAAGTCCCTCCCTGGATTTCACATCCCCTTGCAAGTAAGACCCTGGCGACTGCGGACACAGCGGCACCTCGCAGAGCTCCTTAAACCATCTCCGATGCTCTCCCGGGACACAGCCCTGGCGAGTGCGCCTTGAACAGAAGCGCTGTCCGAAAAGCTCATTAAAATCACGAGGCGAGTTCGGGCACTTTGGCGCTGCTGGTCGCTAAATAAAACTCTCTTTAGCAGTTCAGCAGTGGCTGGACGTGGATTGCGGGTTTCTGTTGTGTCTCCCATCACCCCGGCAGGGCCCCGCTGCTCCCCGGTGGAGCAGGCAGAGGTTCGGGGCAGCGGGGAAATCCCTTGCCGGCGCCGGGCATCCCGGGGAGGAAGCGGGGGAGGGAGGGCAGAGAAAACGGCATCACTAGGGGGAAAACAACTCTCCCAGGAGTTCCCAGGAAGGCAGCTACAGGCGTCGCACAGCCACAGGCTTTTCTGCGGAGCTGGGCACGGCCAGAGGATGCTCCGGCCCAGGAGGTGTCGGGGCACGGGCAGATCTCTCCCTGTGCCCAGGGACAGAGCATCCCTTTTCGAAATGCTGTTTCCCTCTGAGGTCAATTCAGAGTCCTCTGCTAAATCGCCTTCCTCCAAACACCGTGCTTGATACCTGCAGAAAAATCTGAAGAGGGATGCTGAATAAAGCTAGAAATATCCAGCTGTTTAGGAGGCTGGAATTGCTAAGAGGAAGGGGAAAGGGAAAGGGAAAGGGAAAGGGAAAGGGAAAGGGAAAGGGAAAGGGAAGACGAGAAAAAAGAAAAGAAAAGAAAAGAAAAGAAAAGAAAAGAAAAGAAAAGAAAAGAAAAGAAAAGAAGTTTAAATTTTAGGTGGACATCTAAATTTTTATTTATATCTTTTTGAATATGCCTTCATGTATCTAACTACATAGAAATTAAATCGTAAGCAGAGCTGAGAAACTCAGGATAGTTAAAGGAAGCATTAAGACATCCACCATAAAGTTACATTTATCTGGAATGGGAAGGGAAATGTAGGAATATTGCCTGGATCTAATTTGAGGCTGACAGCACTGAACACTGCGGGTCCGCTGGAGTCTGGAGCGTCTCTCTCGGATCGATGGTGAGAGCGGGGCACATTGGCAGGGGGCACAGACAGACTATTCCAAGATAATGCAGTGGAAAAGGGGGAAAAAAAAAATCGATCCAAATATATTGTTGAACAGTGGAGCCAGCACGCACCTATGAGATTTATCAAGTATTGATTTGCATGAATATTTTAGACTCGTGCCTACGAGAAAAGTTATGGGCCATCTTAAACCGGTGAGCAATGTACCATTTGCAAAGTAGCCATTTAACAAGGTGCTTTCCAGCGTATCGATCATTTTCATTTAAAGTGTAATTAATAATGTCTTACTGCAGCTATACGAGGCATTTATTTCAAAAAGGCAGTTCAGACTCTATTTTGATTGTCGTTTGCTTCACTTAAAAAAAAATCTTTTCACTGATTATTTTTATTAGCGTCCAATAAACACAAGTTGTCTTTGTGAGTAATCTGGCAAGGTTCTCCTTTGCCTCGCCTCTGGAGTGCCATCTAGCTAAGCCGTTGTAGCAACATTCATTAAATAAATGTCAACAGACAAGGATTTATGCTGCATAATAATATTACAGCTGTAGTATAACTGGATTTATTTTAAAGCTATTCTGAGGTTGCTTTGATCTATAAAGCAGCAACGTATGTCTCTATATGTCATAAACAGCCTTTGCAAAAGTACTTTGAGCTTTACAGTCCATCAACATTTTTCTTAGAGCTTTCTGTTTGCAGGAACAGTACAAAGTGTGTGACTCTTACCCTTTTTATTTGTTTAATTAAAAAAAATACACACAAGGAAGAAAACTGTGATAAATTTGCTGTCCTTATTTGAGGGATGGGCTTGGGTGTTCGGGTGTGGGGGTTTTAAGTTTTACCTATTTTGAAATAGTCAATGCACATACCTCAGGGACTGCATCTGGTGCGAAGTGCTTCTCTGCACCAAGCAGAAATTTCTTGCCATCAGATACAGGGGGAAGTATAATTACAAAAGCTACAAGGTAAAGAAACCTGAGGTGTATATGTTCCTACTTTCAGCACATACTTTTAATAAGCCACTATAAATCAGTTTCTGCATGTACAGAATAAGGCATAAGTAAGCACTTTTTCTTAGATGACTTCACGTCTTGCACCTTTTAATATTTTACCATGATCATAAGTTACAAATACAGTGTATGAAAAAAATCTGTTTATTGATATAATCAGCACATCTTTAAAAAACAAACTTACTAATGTCAAAACACATTTTAAAAATCCGATTGATCATTTAGCCCTGCCAGTTCCTTAACTTCAAGGAAAGAATATTTAGTAAAATCAGAAGTATAATAATCTCATATGTTACTCCAAAGAAAAGGCATGTGGAGAGTGGCAGGCATGTTAAATTTCTCGTTGGATTACAATCTACTCTGATATGACTGTAGTGAGTCAGGATTTTACTCCAGTAGGTAACACTGGGAGATCTGGGGAGCTGGATATGACGGGAAGAACGGTTTAGCCGCTCTCTTCCAGGGGCAGCCAGGCTTTGAACGGCATCAAAATCAAGTGCTTGCGCCCTGAGGAAGAAACACCGCCCCAAGTCACCTCCTCTGGCACGAAAAGGCTGAAGTCCAGCCCAGCCGCTTTCCCCGCGGCCGGGGCACCGACGTCCCCAACTTCGCCTCTTCCCGGTCCTTCCTACACAGCTCGGGGACCAGGCTTTAGAAGTTTCCATCTCAAATTCGAGTGTTTGACAGATATGCCAAGAAAACGGCTGGCGAATATGTCCGGAGATTTCAGGGTGAGATCAGCATCAGTTTGAAAGAGAAAAAAGAAAAAGAAAAAAGGGGGAAAAAAAGATTAAAAAAAAAAAAAGAGAAGAAAACTAATAATAATAATAATAATAAAAAGAACCACTTCAAAACAAAACAGCTTCCATAAACGGGGTTTACGTTGAAGCCAGTACCCCAGCAATTTAGTACTTTTCTCAGGAACCTATATATATATATATATATATATATATATACATATATGGATACATATATATGCAATTTTCGAGTGGTTTTGAGGCTTGCAACATCCTGACTTCAACTGTGCAGGCTGGTGCTCAAAGCCATATCAAAGCCAAAGCAGAGGAAAGGGAAAAAAAAAAAAAAAAAAAAAAAAAAAAAAAAAAAAAAAAAAAGGAAAAAAAAAAAAAAAAAAAAAAAAAAAAAAAAAAAAAAAAAAAAAAAAAAAAAAAAAAAAAAAAAAAAAAAAAAAAAAAAAAAAAAAAAAGGAAAAGAAAAGAAAAAAGGGAGAAAGTCCAAAATTGTTTCGAGGATATAATCCACCCCTGACCTTTCTTCTAGGGTTTTGTATCAAAGCTGAAGCTCCACCACATCTTGTTGATCGATTTCATAACCAGAAAAATATTGCTTCAGTTATAATGAAAAGTGTAGGAAAGAGTAAGAATTAAATCGCCCTTCCTTCACAGGAGACAGGTCCGCATGCACATTCCCCAACAGATCCAGGACCTGGCCCTGCCTGCAGGGACACCGAGTGCTCCGAGCTGGTTGGTTCGATTGCAGCTGATTATGCCCTGGAACGTACAATCAAAGCTTGACTTTCCACCAAGGCCGAGTTTGATAAGGTCATTTCCCCCTCAAGATTTGAAAAAAGAAATTGAAACTTTTAGAAATAATGATAGTCCAGAAATTCATTTTAGGAGTGGGTAGGAGGGGGGAAACAAAACAGTTATTAAAGAAAAACAATAACTTGGCATGCATAATACTTCATATAATATCATGTTACAGGTTCGCTTGCATAATCAGACGTACAGCTTCCCAATCTGTCCCCATCTGATTATTTTTCTTTCCTTCCTTTTTAATTGCCAGTGAATTATTAATCGATTACACAAACCGATCCCGTAAGAGACGGACAAGTGAGGTGCTCTTTCCCCAACCTCTTCAGGAGACTAAAAAAAGTGGCAAATCCACTTGTAAAATACAGTATGTAGAATTACATATATATGTGTATATATAAAACCGTGTATTTTAGCCGATAATTTGCCAGGGACATAAAACGAAAACAAAGAAACCAAATCCTCACAGCTCGGATTTCAGCAGGGCGAATTCTTTCCAACGCTTTGCCTTCAAGTTGTTTCAAATCAAAACTTCTGCATCGAGAAGGACCGGGGGCACCAGCACATGCTTGGGTGTCGGTAGTATGGAAATGAGAATTACGGTGGGAGGGGGATATGTACGGGTTAAGTGGCTAAAACAAAGGGCCCTGGAGAAGCTGCTGGAGGCCGGGATCAGCAGGGTCCCCCGCTCTGCACGGAAAGCTGCTGGGGCAGCGGGGAGGCTTAAAGGTTTCCCCGGCAGGAGCGCTGCCCGGGCCGCCAGAGGTCCCGGGAAGGTCTCTTGGCCGCGGCGGGGCCCCGAGGCTCGGCCGCCCCTGGGCTGAGGGCGGCGCGGCCGGGAAGCGGCGGCTGCTCCGTACATTCGTGTCACGCCCGGCAGCTCCGCGGGTTGCAGGAGGAAGGGTCGGGGAAGTCTGTTCCCCCCCGGAAAAACGCCGGCCTGCGTCAGCCCGGGGCCGAGGCGGCGGTGAGGGTTTAGCCGCTGCCACGGGGCTGGATTTTCTTTGGATGCGCGGCGGTGGGAGCCCTGCCGACCTGATCCCTGTGCATGGCTGGGGTCTTTCAAGTCCTTTCGGCTCCCTCCGGGCTGCCGCACGACGCTCCGAGTTAACCCCAAGAGTAAGTTTATTGCACGTTAAAAAAAAAATAAAAATCAAAAAGCAGAAAATCAAGAAAATTGTAAATTGAAAATAAAAAGTCCGTGTAGGAAGGGGGGTGGAGCTGGAAGCCGAGGGAGGGGGCGAGGGGGCCGCTGTCCCGGCAGAGGTGCGCGCTCAGACGAGTCCTGTCATCTGCGACCGTAGGAAGGGGAGGGAGGCGGCGGGGAAGGTGCCCAGGGGGTAGCTGACGCCGCTGGAGAAGCCCACCAAGGGGGGCGACATGTGCGGCAGGGTGAAGCCCAAGGCGCTCGCCGGCGAGTTCTCGTGATACAAAATGGGGACCCGCACTATCCTTTGGGCGGCGTGGGAGAGGTTGGCCGCTTCCAGGTCTGCGGCCAGCTGCCGCTTCCACTTGTTGCGGCGGTTCTGGAACCAGATCTTCACCTGGGTCTCGGTGAGGTGCAGCGAGGCGGCCAGCCCGGCCCGCTCGGAGCTGCTCAAGTAGCGCTTCACGTCGAAGGTGGACTCCAGCTGGAACACCTGGCTGCGGCTGAACACCGTGCGCGTCTTCTTCTTGCGGCCGGCGGCGCGTTGCTCCGGCTCTCCCGGCTCCTCGCCGCGCTCCTCCTCCTCCTCGCGGCTGCCCGGCCCCGGCCGCCCGCCCGCCGGGCCTCTGGCCGCCGCCCGCCCGCCGCCCGCCCGCTCCGCCGGCTCCTCGGGCAGCTCGGGAGAGTCCCGGTCGCTGGCTGCAAAGAGAGGCAGAGGGCTGCTGCAGGCACGGAGGGAGCAGGGGCACCGCACAGCCCGCCCGCCCCGCGCCCCGCTCACCGGGAGGGGAAAACAGCGCGGATGGGGGGAGAGCAAGGCCGGGCAGCGAGGGGCCCGGGAAAGGCTCCTGCCGCTTCTCTGCCTGCTCCGATAAACTCCCAAATATTTCTGAGTGCATACGCACACGTGCACCCGTGCTTATATGGAAACACAAGCCCTGTATTTTATATATAGAAATATACTGATCTACGGACATGCTCGTGGATTTGCGTATGCGTGCACACACACACGCACTCCTGTGCATTCACATAACACACACATGGGCTGTTTTCAAATAATAAAACGCACCCGTGTAAACACACACGTGGATATGCACAGAAGTACGTATGTAATTTTTAAATACGTATGTACACACAGGAATACGCGTGACCTCTTATTTATATACACGTCTGTATTTACACACGCATGCACATGTACATACTTAAAAGTACATTTGTGAGTAAGTATATTGTATCGGAAGGGTAAGCATAATAGTGCGTCCGTGTGTATATAGAGAGGGGCAAAAAAGAAATAATTCACAATATTCTGGACTTCAAAAAGCTAATGGATGGGGACAACTATTCCAGTATCGGGACATACCTCCATGGAGTCTCCAACACTGTGCATTCCAACTACAATTTTAAAAGGGAAAAAATATTTCCTACTCTTTATAGAATTTAAAAAAAAAAAAAAAAAAAAAAAAAAGCGCAATAGTTTCTGGAGTACTTTGCTGCCTCTACATGTACTTCTGAGAGAAATGAAAAATATTAATAAATCCATTAATTTAAAAAGAAACTATTTGGATTACAAATCACGCCTCTTTTCCTTATTGAGCAATCATGAGATTTCTGCAGGCTCGTATACGGTCACAGAGATGTGCCGAGGCATAATGTTTTTCTATCAGGAGATAGAAAGTAACCACTAATGGCAGCCCATTCACTCTGTCATATGTTAATTCTTGCCCCGAACCCCGGCTGCTGCTCCAACACCCCCTCCACTGGGATCCCTGCAGCGAGAGGCCGCGCTGCGGGCGGAGGGCAGCGGGGCTGGCTCTGCACGAAGGGGCGGCCGGGGCGGCCGGGACTGAGCCCAGGCTGGGGGTGTTCCTGCTCCCCCGGCTTCCCAAAGTCTCTTCTGCGCTGCTGGGGGACGGTGCTCCCAGCTTTCCGGCTTGATAGGGAGTCAAAAAAAAAAAAAAAATTAAAAAATAAAAGGAGAGAAAAGAGAAAAAGAAAAAGAGATGGGGGAGGGAAAGGGAAAGGAAAAAAAAATCCCAAGCAAGCCAGAATCCCTGTTTACACTTTGGGCGGCGGGGCGGAGGCTCCAGGTGCCTGACACATAGGGAGCATTTCCGGAGATTTGCCCCGAGCGGCCGAAAACGGGGAGGCAGGGCGGGGGCTGCGGGGGCACCCCGTGCATCCCCCTCCGGCCTTCTCCGGGGGGCCGCGGCGGGACCCGGACCCCCCCACCCCGGGGGGAGCAGGAACACCCCCAGCCCCAGCCCCGGCCCCGGCCGGGCCCGGCGGTGAAGGGTGGGGAAAGGCGACTTACTGTCGGGGCTGGCGCAGCCCAGGAAGGCGGCGTGTGCCCGGCGGTACCAGCCGACGGCGGCGTCGCGGAGGGGGCAGCCCGGGGCGCCGATGCGCAGCGGGGAGTGCCCGAGTTAACC